CTAAGGTGAGCAGTGCAACAAAAAACCCTCAAAACAACAATCAAATCATAACAAAAACAATCATTATTTAACGAAAAAAAAGAATAATTTACAACAAAGCATCTCAAGATAATTTGAGTTGCCAAAAAAGAACCCTAAAAATGTCTGAATTACAAACAAGCAAGAAGGTTTAAGTTGCAACAAATCATTCTTTTGAGATTGTGTTGTGAAAAGCCATCCAAAAAAAAAAGGCAGGATTTTTCTGTAAAAAAAAGGATTTTTATGTGAAAAAAAGGATTTTTTTTATATTATTTACAAAGCTAATATAAGATGTTACAACTATCAAATTCATGTATTTGTGAATTATATGCCCAAACAATCAAAAGCTTAATGAAAGCAAAGAAGTAGGAATAAATCACCTTGGACTAGTTTAGGCCATGGAAAAATTAGCATAAAGTTCTTCACATCCAATACAACTTCAATCTACTAACACATATAATTGGTTTCTAGAGTAAAAAATCATAATGCATGCTACAAATTACTCCCTCAGTAATTCAAAATTTACAGAAACAAAAATTAAAAATTGCAGACACTGCTAAAGTTGAAATGGAGGAAGGAAAAGTACTATATGTTCATGCCTGCTGACATTCACAGCTGCATAATATATCAGGTAAAAGCAAACCTGTAAATAATAAATCAAGTTTACTTACCAAAATTACCTCACAAATTTAGCTGATTTAACAACTAAAATAGAGAAAAAGTCTGAAATAATTCACCTGATTAAGCACTTTGGTTCTGATCTTGTTCGATAAAATCGAGAGCCTCCTCCTTCGAAACAACGTGGACATGGCTAACTCTGTTTTTGTGAGTAACGCCGTATATCTTATCCGCAACTTTTACCAACTCCGGACGAAATGTTGTGGTTATGAATTGCGTATTCGCCACATCGGCCAAACGACGGATCATATCTTTAAGGGATTTAAGTGAAACAGAGTCGTATACGAATTGTTAGAACATAGATTTCTTTAAGGAAAGATTTAAAAGTGCCCGAAGAGACTGATTTA